GAGTCGATCATCAGATATTGTCCAAGATTAACCTTCAGGGTGGATATAGCTCGCTAGCAGCCTCGCACCGAGGACCTAGTTGATGTCATCATTTACCCAGAATGCTTTGCGTGTAAATAAAATGGCTCCATCCGTGTTAAAATATATTTTAAAACATTTACAAAACTAAACAGCCTACAGTATTTTTTACAATCTTTATTTTACAGTTAAAATAAATGTTTATCAAACAAAGTTTAATGTTACAACTAATCGTGGATCCCTTTAAGAGCCAATCTAACTGCTAGAATGAGACCAAGATTGAAACTCGCCGACATCCTAAGAAAACTCTATTTTCAAAACAGTTTTTGCAAACACTGTTTTAGAAACCTTTCCTTCAGGTCACTTTTTCATAAGCTTTCTGTTTACACAGAAGATGGAGATGGCTCGTTTCCAAAAGCACGTCATGTGAAACGTGTTGCAAAATAAAACCTAGCTGAGAAAAAAGTATGTGGCCACTTCAGTATAACACCTCAATGTAAACACCCATAAACAAAGTAGAACACATTCTAAAGCAAAGGTGACCAGATGGAAAGGTTTTATAAAATTACACGTTGGAACTGCTGTGATCAGAACCAATCTTTGTTTTTTGTTTTTTTCAAACCTGAACTTTATACTTACAGTTATTATGTTCTCCTCAAACTACAAAAAATATATTGTTCTTTCATTGAGGGTAAAATAAATCATATTATGAAACAAAAACTGTCAGCAGGAGATCCCGGCTTCAGGCATGATCTGCAGACATCAAAGTCTTTGTCAACCCGTCTGCTACATGTGGACCACCCACATGGAATCTGGCTAAAAATAAAAAAATTAAAAAAAACAAAAGCGATCAACCTCTTGCGTGATAGCATTGTTTCCTGTCAGCTGCGCGTGACTCAGCCACTTCAGACGGTTTCCTCATGGTTAGCCATCTTGAATTCAGCTCTGATCTTCCTGATGGTCGTTTATCTCCTCACCCCTGGTTCTGTTCAGGTGGCTTCACTTGTTTGTTCTCTAAATCAGAACCAAATATACATC